TGGATCCCCTGAGACTGGAGTACAAAAGGCTGTGAAGTGCCATGTGGGTGCTGGGAACCAAACTTGGGTCCTCTGGAAGCGCAGTCAAGTTCTTAAAAGCTGAGTTATCTCTCCAGCCGGGCTCCTTTTCAGATCAGTCAGTCAATCAATCAATCAATCAATCAATCAATTGTGTGTGAGAGAGCTTGTAGATGGAGCTCATTCATACTAGGCAGGTGCTCTATCATAGAGCTGCACCCCAGCTCAACTGCATTCCTTCTCAAGTGTCCTGCAGTGACTGATCCCTACCTCTGCTAATCCAACCTGTCACGATTTGCTTTCTTCTTAACAAATGTTGGCTTCAGGGTACGGTAAATACCTTGACATCAACCGGGTACCCCCTAGGTCACCCGGACAGGGATATGTGGTAAACAACTGTGAGTGCCCCCTGTTCCAGCCCTCCCTCACCCTGGGGCAGAAACTGGCAACAGCGCCATCTGTTGGACCCTCCTGGGATGGGCTCTGGCTCTGGGGAAGTTTCTGATGCCTGGCCAAGATCTCCTTGTCCAAGATCTCTGTCTGTCCCCCACATCTGTCTCCATCACTCTGCCTCTCTCTGCATCACCTCTGCGTCTGTCTGCCTCTCCACTGCCTTCCTTGGTGACCAGGTGGGGTGTATCTTCCTGACAGGCCTCCTTTTTCCATTCTCTTCTCCAGGTCCATGTGAACCCCAAGTACATTGTTTTGGAGTCTGACTTCACCAACAATGTAGTGAGGTGCAACATCCACTACACAGGTCGCTATGTTTCCACAACAAACTGCAAAATTGTCCAGTACGTGTTTCCCGCCGCCTGACTCCTACCCCAACCACATTCCTGCCTGGGGAGTAGGCAGACTCCCTGAAATACCTATGACTCCTGTGCTTTGGGTCACTGATGGCCACACACAGCTGTGGATGTGTCTAGGAGGAAGACCCTTTGTAGGGAGCTGAGTGTTCACGATGGGCCTAAGGCTATGGGGTACTGACATGGGCTTCAATCCTGTGTCCCCCTAGGGTTTCCAGATAGAAACTGGCAGAATGCAGAATGGTCCGGTCGAGTGCATGGGCTCTGCAATCCTAGTCTGCAGATCTGTGCTGATAACACCTTTGCTCTCAGAGCTACCTTCCTCCCACACTTCCCACGTAAGCTGGGGATGAGGACTTCAGGCCTGATGCCAGCATGTCCGGGTCCCCAGCACATGGAGGAACTCAGATCAGCAGGCATGCTCATTGGTGTCATTATCAAGTAGACTGGGTTTAAACCCCAGATTAGGAGTAGTTGGAATGAGCCAACCTCTGTCCCTGGAGCGCCATCATACAGAAAGTCAATAGAATCTGGGTCTGGACTTTTAGTATATGAATCAGGGTCCTTAGCACCTGATGTCCCAGGCCAGCGGAATTCAGGTTCCTGAATCACTCCTTTGCAGAGAGGCTGTCTGCCTACAAACTTACAACTCCTCTCTACCCCCTATAACTTTAAAATGTTTGCTTGGATCAAAATTATATTCTTCTCCTAAACATGTCCCAGTGCTTTAGGCTGAGTTCAGCAGTTGAGGTCAGACTGTAGAAACTCCAAGTCCCGAAGAGGCATTTTAACTCCAAAGTGTGTGCCTGTAAAAAGATGGGAAGTATGAGAGGTTAAGCCTTGGGGTCAGGGCTGAGTGTGTGACCAAAATCAGGGATCAGTGTGTGACCAGGGTCAGAGCTCAGTGTGTGACCAGGATCAGGGCTCAGTGTGTGACCAGGATCAGGGCTCAATGTGTGACCAGGGTCAGAGCTCAGTGTGTGACCAGGATCAGGGCTCAATGTGTGACCAGGGTCAGAGCTCAGTGTGTGACCAGGATCAGGGCTCAGTGTGTGACCAGGGTCAGGACTGAGTGTGTGACCAGGGTCAGGGCTCAGTGTGTGACCAGGATCAGGGCTCAGTGTGTGACCAGGATCAGGGCTGAGTGTGTGACCAGGATCAGGGCTCAGTGTGTGACCAGGGTCAGAGCTCAGTGTGTGAGAAGAATCAGGGCTCAGTGTGTGACCAGGATCAGGGCTCAATGTGTGACCAGGGTCAGAGCTCAGTGTGTGACCAGGATCAGGGCTGAGTGTGTGACCAGGGTCAGAGCTCAGTGTGTGAGAAGAATCAGGGCTCAGTGTGTGACCAGGGTCAGAGCTCAGTGTGTGACCAGGATCAGGGCTCAATGTGTGACCAGGGTCAGAGCTCAGTGTGTGACCAGGATCAGGGCTCAATGTGTGACCAGGGTCAGAGCTCAGTGTGTGACCAGGATCAGGGCTGAGTGTGTGACCAGGGTCAGAGCTCAGTGTGTGAGAAGAATCAGGGCTCAGTGTGTGACCAGGATCAGGGCTGAGTGTGTGACCAGGGTCAGGGCTCAGTGTGTGACCAGGGTCAGGGCTCAGTGTGTGACCAGGGTCAGGACTGAGTGTGTGACCAGGGCCATAGCATATCTAGAGACAGCTCTTGTATCCACAAAGCTAACTATTACTCCCACTCACATGCTCACATCTGGAAGAATGGGTGCTGCCAACTTTGCTTCAGTCCAGAGATCAGGTTACTCAGAGTAGAATCAGGCTACCATCAACCAGGTCCTGTTCTGTAAGACTGTTTGGCTTTCATTGGCCTCAGTTCCCAATGCCTTGTTGCTCTTCAAGGCCTGTGAGGATATGTCTCGGGCCACAGGGACCCCATAAGCACCATCATGGTCCTCAGAGGGTAGACAGAAGCAATTGGGCCATCCCTGTGCTTCCCTAAGCCTGTGGCTGTGGAGGCCAAGGCCCTTGCTTCCAAGACATCTTTACATAAGTGCTTGGAAAGCCCCAGGTCTTATTAGAGTGTCCTGGTGACCCTGACCACAAGCAGGCTGCTGGGTCAGCATGCACAGGAAGCTGCACAGAGTGTTCCCAGAAAGGCCACGGGACTGACACACGCGGGTTTCCATCGTGTTTCTGAAGAGGGAAAGGAGATTTTTTTTCTCCCTTTTAAGGGAAAAGGATTAGAACATAACATCCAGAGAAGCATTTCCTGACAATAGCACCTAGAACCTGGGACAGCTGGCTGGAGGCATGCTGACACTATGCCCTAAGAGGTGCTGGGCCCTGAAGGAAATTTTGCCCTGAGCCCACACTCCTGGGGAAGATGGAGACCTCTGCCTGCCCCAGCACGGGAACCTCATCTAGAGAAGGGAATCTGTCAGGGAAGCGGGACACCTCGCAGATGTCATGCCATTAATCAACTCTTTCTTTCCTTAGGTCCTGACCTCTGAGTGGACAGACCCCCCCCTTGTCTTTCCTTTAGAAGCAGGCCCTGCTCCCAGGCAGCCTCCCCCCAAGAAGCCCAGCCCCCTAGCCCAAGGGCAAGGGCAGCTGGCGGCTGGAGCATCCCTCCCTGCCGGCCTCAGGGAGTGAACGTGGACCAAAACCACAGGGATTCTGGATGCCAGGCTCCATTTTGTACCTAACTCTCCTCTACAACATCCTTTTGTCTATTTTTGGTTGTTAATGTTTATATTTTGGCCATTCCACACAGCAAGATTGCCCGGGTGCTGAATAAAACAAGGGTTTTCTAGTCTGGAGTTCTGCATCGGCTCAGTGGCTAGGTGGACCATAGCTGGGTCAGGCCCGAGAGGTTATTTTAGGTTTTCAGCCTTTGTGTAGGAGCATGTGGAAAGGGTGACTGTCAGTCTTCCAGGACTCCAGCAATCCTCCAGGATGTCAGGCTTATCCATTATAGAAATGCTATGGCTTTAGCCCAATGCCAAGCTGGGTAGATGGCTCCAACTCCCAGCTCCCCACCCCAGTCAGCCACCTTTTACTGGTCTTTCGTTCCTTCTCAGTCTGTAGCCTCACCACTGCCATCCGGCACTAGGACCTAACCACAGCTAAACACAGTGCTGGACACCCTCAGGACAACCCCAGCCTCTGCCCTGACCCATACAACCACAAGGTATACTCTGTACCCGGGGAGGGGCAGAGGAGCCTTAATGGGCCACCTCCCCAAAGCGAGAGGACACACGCATTCTTGGCAGAGGGGATGGCTTGCAGCACAGGTAGTGAGGTGGGCCTGGAGGCTGAAGGGCGTGGAGAGAGTGTGAGGAGAGTGTGAGGAGAGGGAGATTCCCTGTCCCTCCCTGGGTCGGGGATTCTAGAACTCCTGGACACCAGTCTGAGCCAGGAGGAAGTGGAAAGAAAATGTCAATGCCCTTCCTCCTCTCCCACCAGCCCCCAGGGTTTCCCAGGCCACCACCTGCCTCTGCCACCCTAGAGAAACACTGGCGGGAAAGGGAAGGATACTTGGCTCAAGGCGCTAGTTCTAGCTGTTTGACTCTGCGCCGAGCGTCCTATATCACACCTCAGATTCCATTATCAATAAAATGGAACTGCTCTCTGCCTGGCAAAGATACTGTCATGGAGAACCAACAGTCATTGCCACAGGGAGGTACCAGGTTCCCATCTGAACTCAGCTCCTTTGAGACCATCATGCCCCATCCTTGGGCTCTGTTGTTATCTTGCCATGGGGTCCCAGGAAGCCAGGAGGTCTTTTGGCAGGTTGGTAGGAAGACGTCGCATAAGGTTCCTGGATCCAGCCCACTGGAGTAGTTGGGCTCGGCATGAGGCCAGGCAGCAAGACCCAACTCCCCTGGCATGAGGCAGGTGTCCTGGCCAGTCATTCTGTATCCAGGCTGGACCAGGAGACTGAGCAGGAGCTCAGATGCAGCCTAGGCTTTGGATCACGTCCATTATACCACATGTGCCTCAAAGATGCTTCCCTGGGCCTACCCGTGTCATTCATCTCTAGGTGCCTCTGGGTAAGCCAGGACTCAAGTTCAGAAGGACTCTAGAAGATAGAGTCGGGACTGGAGAGGTGGCTCAGAGGTTAAGAGCACTGGCTGCTGTTCCAGAGGTCCTGAGTTCAATTCCCAGCAACCACATGGTGGTTCACAACCATCTGTAATGAGATCTGGTGCCCTCTTCTGGCCTGGAGGCAGACAGGCAGGAAGAATATTGTATACTTAATACATACATAAATGAAATCTTAAATAAAGAAAACCATATACCTTTAAAAAAAAAAGAAGATAGAGTCAACAGTCCTCAATTCCTAGATCAGGATGGGAGCCTATTCGAGAACACGGGCAAGCAGGACTGGAACCCAGATATCTGAATCCCAGCCAGGCTAGATGGCAAGTGTGTGCAGTTTTCTAGGGAGAAGATCCCTACCTTCAGTGATGCTAAAGGAGGCGTTGGCCAGAAAACTGGACTGGGTAAAAGGGGAGAGGTGGGGGCGGCTTTTCCCAGGAGGTGCATTTTAAACCATGGGGAAGGGAAGCAGACTCCAGACACAGTGTTCCTATGTTCATATGAACCCCCAAACTGGAGCTCAGGCCCCAGAGCTTGGTGGATGACTGCAGTCCCCACATGCTGGCAGGACCTTCTCAGATGAGCAGTGTGGAGTGGAGGCTAAAATAGAAGGAAACCTCCACCTAACAAGACAGCTAGGACACACAGGCCCCTGGGCAGCTGCTGTTCTTTCTGAAGAGCTGCCTTGGTCTGAGGGCTCGCTCTGTCAGAACTGCTCCTCCCTGTGGAGGAAGATGTCTGCTCACCCACCTCAGAGAAGTGGCTCGTAGGGCATTTATTTATCTGTGTACAGGATGGCAGGGTCTGTGGCCAAGTGAGGGGAAGAGCCATTAGGTGGCTGGGCAAGTGCGTTGTAGTCAGGAGGTGCAGGAGAAAGGGGTCCCCTGAGGTTTACCTGAGGTTTATCTGACTATGTCCTTCAGGGAAGAGTAGCTACCCACCATGGCTGTTGTCTTGCTGTCACCTGGCTCTGGCCCTTCCCCAGGGCCCACCTAGTGAGAGGTGGATGATATGGATCACTCCCCAAGCTTCACCCAGACAGAGCGATGCCAGACCTGTGGGACAGGCTACGAGGCTCAGGGGCTTGGCCCACCTATCAGTCTCTAACATGACCCTTCAAGAGCCAGCCTAAATCCCATTCCTTGGAGCCTGGGCTTTCCCTTCTTCCCTCTGAGTCTGGGAGCAGTGGATAGCCCCACCCAGGGCCTTCCCACCCCTTTGCTGCATGGACAGACATGGGGGGGGGTGGAGAGCAGGCTTCAGAACCTCCCTCAGACACAACCACTGAAGGCACACAGACATCACCTCTGCTCCAGCCTATCTGTGCTTCACTGACTGGCTAGGTCGTGGCCACTGGTTACAGAGGGCCTCACGGTCCCCTGCCCAGACACCTGCACTGCTCATCCCGACTCAGCATTAGTACTGAGTGTTCACCACCTCTCCCAAGGCTTACTGGAAGAGTTTGGCCTGCACTGGGTCCTGCAGCCTCCCTTTGGTCTGGCCTGAAGGATCTGTTATTTTGTGCAATGGACATAGACCTGGGTGCAATGGACATAGACCTGGAAGGAATTCAGGAAAAACAGAGAAGAGGCTTTAATTACTCTGTGGTGGACATTCATCTCTCCACCCGTGTCGGAGGGCCTGGCTTCTTGGGCCCCAGTGCTATTCCTTGTCTGGTAGAGAAGAGGGAACAGAGAAGAAAAGAGTAAAGGAGGGGATAGAGGGAATGAGAAAAGGGAGGACTTGAGAGCAAAGTCCAGCCCAGTGGGGAAGAGGCAGGTCACTTGTTGGACTCAGGCCAGAGTCCTCTGGGCCTATAAACTGCGTTGCCTGGCTTAGCAGATACTATAATAGAGCTGAGTGGTGGTGGCACACACCTTTAATCCCAGCACTTGGGAGGTAGAGGCAGGTGGATCTCTGGTTTGAAGCCAGCCTGCCCTGCAGAGTGAGTTCCAGAGAAACCCTGTCTCCAAAAACAAACAAACAAAGATACCATAGTAGAGGCTGTAATGGGGCATTAGACTCCAAACCAGGGCCTGGGCCTGGAATCTTCAGAAAGTCTCTCCACCTGAGACCAGGGTGTCCAGTTGCCTCCAGCAAGGTGGGTAAGCTACAAAAGCCAATGCAATGATGTCAGGCAGACCAGGGTGCCTCTGTGACCAGCTGTCCTGACCACACCCTGGCCTTACTCCTGCTCCATGCTCCAGGATGCCAATAGTTCCAGGCTGTGGCCCCCATCCAAGGGAGTAACAACCTTTCCAGAAGACCCCAGGCTACTTTGCCAAAGCATTTCCTTTCCCATTGTGGAAATCCCCATGAGGGACCCAGTGAGACCTGTAGTAGAAGGTGCCTGATACTGGGTGTGAATGGAAGATACGGATCCATTTCTTGTCTGTTACATGAAGGGTCATGCAAACAGAGTCTCTGAAGTTTAACTCTAAAGAAAGAGGAACCTAGGGCCCCCCTACTCTTCACCCTTTGCTTTGGAGAGCTGTTTCCAGAGCATTCTCCAAGATCCCACAGATGTGACTCAATCTTGACACCTGCTTCTTGGATCAGCCAGTGTTGGTGTGTCTCAGTGCCCCCTGGTAACACCTCCCCATCCAGAGTGAGGGCCCCTTTCCAGTCCCTGCCTTCATCTCTCCTCATCATGGACAAGGGAACAGAATGCCCCTTGTATGTCCACACATGGCTGAGCCTCTCCTGGTCCCTGGCAGGGATAGGTTCTCTTTCCCTACAGCCCTCTCTGTGACTACATCCTGGTGCACCCCACAGCCACAGTGCATGTTAGGAAGTACCCATACTTCCCTGCAACCCCCAGATGGAGTGATGCAGGTAGTGCTGATGGGCAGGCTGGTGAGGTTTGGCCCCAGCTGGCCAGAGAGACTGGGAAGGGCTGCACAACCTGCAACAGTAACTAGTGCGCGCGCGCGCGCGCACACACACACACACACACACACACACACACACACACTTCTAAAAAGTTAAGATCCATACATGCTTATAAGTTAGAGTGCTTCAACACTCAATACTTCCCTAGGAATATGCTTTTTAATTGCCAAAATCAATACCAAGGAGTACAAAGCACAAAAATGACCAATTACCCACTGAAGGATTTCAGAAGTTGTCATCTCTAAAAAGAATGCCAGACTTAAAGAGAATTCTAGAATGAGTTCTTTTGAAGTGGAGGAATGGGTGGGTAATGTCTAAGTTATTCAAATTCTTCCAGAGCACTATGCAAACATTGGGTTGATTTTATGTTCTTTAGCCAATTTTATAAAGTCAATATAATCCTGACACCAAACTCTGACAGAGACAGTCATCCTGCCCACCCACACTCACGTGACAGACACAGGCCAGGTTTACTCCTGGCAGCAGACAGCAGAGTCCTGGATAAAATGCTGGCACATGGAGATGGGAACCGTAGTGTGGTCTGACACACTATGGTATTTGGCTCGCTCCTCCGTACCTCAGATCTATGCAACAGCAATGTGCTGGGCCAAGGTCTGAATCCAAGCAATTTGGACACAACATCTACTTTGTGTGGTCCTAAATGCCCCTTCAGGAAGCAGAGAAAGCCAGCGAAGCCAGTGTGCACAGCTTGTAAAAATATGAGACAAAGGGCTGCCACTCAGATTCCTGCTGTTTTCTGGCAACTTGTGGTTAGCCCACTCTTTCTCTTCCTTTTGGAGAAGTTTTGTTTTTAGAGACATGGGCTGTCTGTGTAGCTGAGGCTGCCCTTGAACTCGCCGTGTAGTTCAGACTGCCCTCCATCTTTCCATCTTCCTGCTTCAGGCTCCTAAATACTGGCATTATAGGATTGTGGCTACCACACTAGACTGAAGAAACGCTTGGGTGTTTTTTGTGGTATTTGCGTTGGTCCTAGTATCTTGGGTATACTCTAACACTGAGCTATATTCCCAAGACTTTGTACTTGCTTTTTAAAATGAAAACAAGGTCTTATTAAGTTTCCCGGTCTAACCTTAAGCTCACTTGTAGCCTAGACAGGTCTGGAATTTGTCATCTTCCTGCCTCAGCCTCCCCAGTAGCCGGGATGACAGGCGTGCGGCACCAGGCCTGCCTTGCTTTGTGTCTTCGTCCTACAGCTGGTTCTAAGAGTCAGAGTCTTGTCAGAGGTTTGTTGTCCCTGTGTCAGTACGCATAGCCCCTGTCCTGGTTGATGTTTTTATCAACTTGGCACTAACTAGAGTCCTTTTCGAAGAAAGAACCTCAACTTGGAAAATTCCCCCACAAGACTGGCCTATGGGAAAGCTTGCGGAGGCATTTTATTGGTGATAATTGGTATTGGAGAGCCTAGCCACCGCCAACCCTGGGCGGGCGGTCCTGGATTATATACGAAAGCAGGCTGAGAAAGCCATGAGAAGGGAGCAAGCCAGGAAGCAGCATTCTTCCATGGTCTGTGCTGTTTCTGCCTCCAGGTCCCTGCTTGAGCTCCTGCCCTGCCCCTCAGTCGTTACTGTGACCTGAGAACTGAGCTGAGAGAACCCCTTTCCTCCCTAAGTTGCTTTTGGTCGTGGTGTTTTATCACAGGCATAGACAAATAATTAAGACAGGCCCAACACATTAGGGCTGTGCCTATGGTACATTGACAACCACTTCCTGGTCTCAAGGAGCTCCAGTCTCCGGCAGCACCCCAGAGCCAGGCAAGAGGGCTGGGGTCCCAGCAGCTTGTCAGGGAACAGACCAGCATTGCTCATGGAGGCCACCAGGGGGAGCAGGACTCTTTTTCCTCAGGGCTACTTCAGGGATGTGGGTTTTCTAGATATATGACATAATTTTAAGTTGCAACCATTGTCTCTTTTTTATTTTTTATTTTTATTTTTTCTCAGCATAACTAAGGAATATTGAGAAATAATTTGCAGACGGCTATATTTCTCCTTATTATGTGTAGAGTTTGATAAGTTTAAAAATAAATATATGAATACCCCCACAATAAAAATGTGGAAAAAGTTAGTTGCCCTCAAAGCTTTGTCTTGGGAATAGAGACATGGCTCAGCAATTTCTCCAGGTCATCTTGTTCCAGGTAGCAAGTGAAGCCATGTTTGGCAACAGGTGGTAAGGCAGTGTTTAAGTGAGTCACTAAATAAATCAGTGTCTAATAATTGTTTTCTTCTGTCTTAGTCTATCTCACTTCCTTGTAGTTAGTTTCACACTCACAGACCCCCAAGAACTGCTAAGTTGTTTTCTGTCCCTATAGCTTTGCTTTTCACAGGGTCTCACATCAATGGAGTCATCCAATATGTAGCCTTTTGTTTCTAGTTTTGTTCACAAAATATGTCTTGTGTTTTTTTTTAACTTTTGCAATGTAAGTTGAAAAATGTCAATGTATTTATCTATGGGGTACAAAGTGAGGTTATGATTTATGAGCATGAAAGAACAATTAAATCAAGCTCATTAACATAGCTATCATCTCAAATGCTAATCCCCTTATGATAAGAGCATCCAAAATGCACTTTCTTGTTGACTTTTGTTTGCTTTTTTAGTCAAGGCCTCTAGCCTAGGCTAGCCCTGAACTTGCTACACAGCCAAGGATGACACTGCACTTCTCTTCCTCCCGCCTCTGCCTCCCAAGTGCTGGGATTATAGGCGTGTGACACCACACCCTGCTTATGCAACGCTGGGGAGAACCCAGGTCTTCCTGCACGCCAGGTAAGTGCTCTGCCCACTGAATAACCAGTCTTCGTGATTTCGGAATGCACATTCTATTCACTGTATCTGCTGTGCTGTGAAATCAACACCAAGTAAAACTGTATTCCTTCTTGGCACAAAGCTTTTGAGACTCATTTGTATTGCTATGTGGATCAGTGCTTTGTTCTCTTTTCCCTGCAGTCCTGGGAATGGGACCCATGACTTTCCCCATGCTAGCTGAGTTATACGCCCAGCCCAATGTTCTCTGTCACTCATTTGTCTAGAAACATTCCACTTAGATGTACCATGATTTTCATGGACATACCGAAATATGTTATTCCGTTTACTAGTAGATTCAAATGTTGCTGTTGTTTTCCTCCCTAGATTTGGTCCATTATGGGAAAACTGCTCCAAATATTCTCACACAAACGTCTGTGGTGAACATACCTATTTTTCACTTTTTCCTGATTGAATAGTTAGCAATGAGGGTAGATTTCACTGTCTTAGAACTACTGAGCTTTCCCTGGAGACTATTATTCCATAGCTCTTTAGCACACCAGCTCATCACTTTAAAGTCATTCTACTAGGTATGAAGCAATATCTCACTGAGGTTTAAAATTTTTGTTCTCCCACTAATACTTACAGGTATCTATCTGTTCATGTTCTTCTGGGCCATCATTTCTTTCCTTCATTCAAATCTCTGTTCAAATCCTTCCCATTTTAACTGGTTTATTTGTACATTATTGAGTTTATCTGCTATGTATTGTGCTAGTATATTTCTCTGTGGCTTGCCTTTTCATTTCTTGACTATAATTCTTGAAGAGTAGTGGTTTTAATTTTAGTGAGAAGTGATGTATCAGGATTTTTTCTGGTACAGACTATGCTTTTTGTCCTATCAAAGAAATATTGATTTTTTAAAAAAATCACAGATAAATTTACTTTATGTGTATGAGTGTCTTGCCTGAATGTAACGTCCATGTACCATGTGTGTGCAGTGCCTGAGGAGGCCAGAGGAGGGTATCAGATCCTCTGGAACTAGAGTTGGAGATGGCTGTGATCTGCCATGTGAGTGCTGGGAGCCAAACCCAGGTCCTCTAGAAGAGGAACAAGTGCTCTTAAATGCTGAGCCGTCTCTCCAGGCCCCTCCTTTTTCTATTTTAAATAGTTTTCTTAAGCACTGCCTTAAATTGTGTTCTGCACATCTTCAAAAATTGTGTTATCATTTCACTTAATTAAAATATTTCTAATTATTCTCCTATTTTTTTTCCTTAGGATCATCGGTTGTTTTAGAAGCCTGTTGTTTGATTTCCAAATATTTGGAGATTTTTCCAGATATTTTTCTGTTGCTGATTTATAGCTTAAGTTATCATGCTGGACCATATTTTTGAATGATTTCAATTATTTTTATCAAGATTTGATTTATGGCTCAGAAAATGGTCTTAGTGAAGTTTCACAGTCTCTTGGAAAGAATGTGGATTTTGCTGTTGCTGAGTGGAACATCTCATAAATAAATGTCCATCAGATTAAACTGGTTATGTTCTTTCAGATTGCCCATAACCCCTCAAGTTTTGTGTGCTTATGCCGTGCTGGGTGAAGAGGGTCTCTCCATTCCTTCCTTTAGCCCCATTCATCTTAATTGTCTGTACCCTGAGACCCCGTTCTCCCGGGACTGTCATCTCCTCTTCATTAGCCTGCTCCTTTATGTTCCGCCCTTCTTCACTCCAAAGTCTGCTTCCTCTGACACTGAACTATTTTTGACTTGTTTACATAACTATATTTCAAGATAGGGTCTCCCCACAACCCAAACTGACCTCAGAGTTCCAATCCTCCTGTAAGTTTGAGGTCACTTTGGGTTAGAGGAGTCATTCTCTCTCTCTCTCTCTCTCTCTCTCTCTCTCTCTCTCTCTCTCTCTCTCTCTCTGTCTCTCTCTCTGTGTCTGTCTGTCTGTCTGTCTGTCTGTCTCTCGCCTCTTGCTCTCCCACTGGTGGTCAGTGTTGTTACTCTCACTCTCTGCAAGGGTTGAGAAACAGAGTGAGGATGAGGGGCAGGGTGTTTACAGCCTTTAGGGTGCTGCTGGCTTCTTCTGGCCCGGCCTCCTCAGAGCTTGTGTTCTTGGTCTCAGAAGGTGGGGGCCCACAGTGCTTCTGCCCCATTCATCTCCAGTGTGCCTGGGACAACAGCCTGCCTGGCCTACAGGACAAAGGTGTCAAAAGTTTTGTCTGGCCTCCAGAGCAGAGTCTTGGTTCCTGCCTCATCTGCAGCAGCCTTGGGACCAGGGAACACATTGTTTTGGCAACAGGGAACCAGTGGGGTGGGATGCAGTGCCTGTGCTGCAGCAGGCACAGCTGTGTGTGTGTGTGTGTGTGTGTGTGTGTGTGTGCACGTGTGTGTGCGCGCGCGCGCGTGCGCGTTACCACCAAGTGGTGCTCCCTGCTCCCAGCCTTCCTCCTGCACACCCAGGAAAGGCCCTCTGAAGAGCTCACAGGGAGGGCAGAGTCCTGCTCCACCCCCACACTTCCTGCTCAGCAGAACAGCTGGTCCTGTCTTTCTCAGGAAGAGCTTGTCATTGAAATTCCGTTCCTTACTTGCCTCTGACCTCGATGCTGACCGCTTTAGTAAATTATGCTTTCATAGGTTATCTGGCTCTTCCTGTTAGAATGTAACGGATAATTCCCCTGTGGTTTTCTACAGGCTAAGAACCATTTTTCACATATGCAAATAATCCAAAGGGTTTTTCACACACCACAAGTCCTTTGCGTGAATTCTAACATCTTCTGAGGCAATGTCCCCAGCTCAGAGTGTCTTGTGACTTTTTCATTTCTCAGCAGCCCTAGTCGTAGTTGCTTCCTGTGGTGTGCTCAGCTGTCACCACCTCCATGCGCTGCTCCAGCACCATCCAGGTGCACCCCTCATCCTCTCTCTCCCATCACGCCTTCACCCCAGATACCACATTTGACTAGGGTTCTAAAACGTAACCAGTTCTTTTTAAAACAAAAGTGGACTTGCCAGAAGGTCTAGAAATTCCAGTGTCTCTCATTTATCCCAGAGAAAAATGGCATTTATTTCCAAGTGGACCTGTACACAAATGTTCATAGCCTCCAACAAATAAAATACTTAGATATCTTCCCAAGAGTAAATAGATAAACACGGTGACTCATCCACACCCCAGGGTGCTACTTGGCAATGAAGAATGAACTATAGCTACATCCAGCAACTTGACTTGGGTGGCTGGACCTCCTGAGAGAATGCTAATTTCTGAAGGGTACAGTCGGCAGGAATCCTGCATACACCAGTGGGGTGAGATGGCAGGCTCACAGACACAGGTGAGTTGCTCTCAGGGCCCAGGAATGGGAGGAGCTGCGGTAACCCTACAGCTATGTGTTGGCAGCTCCTGGCTTCACATGTGACATGACTGCATGGGTCAAATGAGCACTGTCATTTCAACAAATGATCTTCTGGTTCTCAGACACCTTGTCCTATATCGCAGTTCCATTCGAATGCTAGCTACCTGGAGTTAGCTTCCAGCCTCAAGGTCTTATGGCTCATTCCCACCAGATAACCTGTTTCAAATGCCAGTCACAAGCACCAGCTCCTGCATTTCTGCCTAGACAAACCCAGTCCTGCTTCTCAGACATGGTGACTGGCAGAATGGCTCACAGAAAACAAAACATGTTTCTTACTGTTCACTGGTTTGTGTAAAAGATATGATTTAGAACAGCCGTACGGGAGACATGAGCAGAGGAAGGCTTCTTTGCTTGTTGTCTCAGTTGTCACAGGAGGGTTGCTGTTGTTGTGATAAACACTGTGACCAAAAGCAACTTGGGGAGGAAAGGGTTTATTTCACCTACATTTCCACATCACTGTCAACAAAAGAAGTCAGGGCCGGAACTCAAAACAAGGTAGGGACCTGGAGGTAGGGGCTGGCACATTGACCATGGAGGGGTGCTGCTTACTGACTTGCTCCTCCTGGCTTGCTCAGCCTGCTTTCTTTTAGCACCCAGAAACCATCAGCCCACCTGCAGTGGGCTGGGCCCTCCCCCATCAAAATCACTAATTAAGAAAATGCCCCACAGGCTTGCCTACAGCCTGATCTTATGGAGGGGATTTATCAATTAAGGTTTTCTCCTCTTAGATAACTCTAGCTTATGTCAAGTTGACATAAAACTAGCCAGCACTCCAGTTCAAGGTACAACCCCTCCCAACCTCAACCCCTCCAGACCTCAATATTTAGAGGGTGCTTTTTTTTGAAAGAGAGAGTTCTAAGCTATTTGCATAATCACATAAAACATTTGTCATTGGCAAGTGAACTAGTGACTTGTCCCTCTTCCTTCTCTAGAGGTCATAGTGAAAGTTCTAACTCTAAACACTTCCTCTTCCTGAAGAGCATCCTGGGAGCCTATCACTAAATTCCCTTAATTAAGTCACTTTATTAAGTTAAATTCTAGTGTAAAGAGATTTTTTATGAATAACCAAAGCCACTCATGGATTTGAAGAGCTCTGTTCCAGGATCTGGGAACAAAGGCTAAGTATAGAGACGCTTCTCTCCTTACAAAAGAATTGTGTGTGCACTCTTCCCTGCTGAGTCATCTCTCCAGCTTCCTGGATCAGCTCTTTGCTTCCAACCGTTAGCTGATGTGTCTAAACTCTGCGGTCTTTTCAACCCCTCTCAGCCATTCTGTGAATTGCACATCTGCATACTATTGTGTGAAGTGATAATGTGTGACCTAGGAGTGAGTAACTAAGAGGCTGGGAGATGGCTCAGTGGGAAAGGAACTTGCTGCCAAGAATGTATGGTGGGAGAGAATGGACTCCTACACGCTGTCTTCCAACCTCTACACGCACAGTGTAGCTTTTGCACGGGTGCACACACAGAGTAATTAAAAAGAAGCCCTGCTTGCCTGTGGCTAGCTATAGAGGGTAACTGGAATTATCTTGTTAATCATAACTAATAAAACCATGTAGCTTGTGAGTTTACTGGTTATTTGGTAACTTCTGAGACTGTGGAAAGACAAATATATCTGTTTCTGACATAGCATACTTACAACAGGGACATAATTGTCTTTCTCCCGCTGGTCATAACTTGGAGGCAAGGACACACATGAAAGACCCTGTCTGTCACTAATGCAGTCCTAGCCATGTGGTCGATCACTGCAGAAGTTGTCTTGCTTCTTGGGTAGTTGCTTGGGCTCACAATCTGGCTTCCTGAAGTCTGGCTAACAGCGAGATAGCTTCTTGGCTGTTGACGCTGATAAAGGGAGTGGTTTCCTGGGCAAGCGGCTCAGGCTGTGGTTCAGAGTCCTACTTTACATGTTGTTTCATTGTTTGTCCAGCCTCACCAGAGCATCTGCTCAGAAACTCCCAGTGTGCACTGAGTCCTGTGGTGGCCCTGGTGCTCCACCTGACCTGGTCCCATTGCCCCTCTGGCTTCATCTGCCGCTTTCTGCCTCTTCCCATTCTAGCCACATAGACTCCTTGCTGCTCTGAAATGTACCAGGCCCTCTTCCAAAACCCGTAAGCCCTTCTAACACACTCAGCTTTCAATATTATTGCTCATGTCTAGTCTTGCCAGCTAGAATGAAAATTCCACAGGATTTACACCTTAGTTGAGTTGGTTCCCTGTCTTAGCAGCATCACCTAGAACATTGCCTTACCCAGCGCAAAGTCAGTGCCCAGTAAAACGTTTAATTTTTAAAAAATATGTATCAATTATACATAATGGGTTTCACAATGGCACTTTTATACAGATAAAGAATATATTTCAATCCCAGTCACCCTCCATTATCCTCTTGTCCCCCTTCCACTCCAGCGAATATCCCTGGTCTTCTCAACTAACCCCCTTTATGTGTGTGTGTGTGTGTGTGTGTAAGAGAGAGAGAGAGAGAGAGAGCGTCCATGCACATGCGTGCATGTGTGCATGTGTGTCTGGGTTACATAGGAGTTATTTACAGGAATGTGAGTAAAAAGTAGGGCCTCAGGAGTCCCTTCCCCTTCCATGACAGGGTGTTAACAGGCCCAGTTTTGCCCAGGCTTTGTGCAGGTAATCACAGCTGCTGTGTGTTCAAGCATGCAGCAGCCATGTCACACCTAGAAGTGATCGTTCCACACCTCACTTTACCCTTCCTCGAGCACTTACATTCTTCCCACCCTTCTTCCACGATGTTCCTTGAGCTTTGAGGGGGTGATCCTAATGCTCCACTTGTGGCTGGACATTCAGCGGTCATTTGTTCTCTATACTGGACCAGTCATGGGTCTCTGCGGTCACTCCTGACCACTACAGAAGGAATCTTTTCTGACCGAGTAGACAACAGAACTATTCTGTGGGCATAAGCAGAGCTGTTTAGAGGGCAACAGACAGGCTTACCATGCCCATTTAGCAAAACATAAGTAGTTTTCCCAGCCATTGGCATTTATGAATAAGTGAACGTGTGTGCACTGGATATGTTTAATAATATCAACTGCTTAAGAGTGAACCAGGCACTGTGCTGTCCTTTCATCTGTAATCCAGTTTTATTCTTTTTCATTGTTACCTTTTAAAGATTTATCCTTACTTATGTTTGTGTGTGTCAGATTGTGTGAGAATATGGGCACCATGTGCATGCAGGAGCCCACAGAGGCCAGGAGAAGGCGTCAGGGCCCCTGGAATAGGAGGTGATAGGCAGCTGTGTATTATCATATGGGTGCTGGGAACCAAATCCAGGTACTCCACAAGAGTAAGCTCTCTTAACTGCTGAGCCATTTGATTCCAGCCTTTTATTTAGAAAGGATTTCACTATATAGCCATGGCTGGCCTGGAACTTGCTATGTAGACAAGGCTGGCCTCAAACTCATAGAGATCTACCTGGCTCTAGCTCCTGAGTGCTGGAGTTAAAGACATGTGCCACCATAATTGCCTCACTTTTGTTTTCTATGGCTTTCCTATGGGAAGGCACCGTTAGGACCATGTATTTATCCATCAGGTAAGGAGGTCCCCTCCACGGACATGAAAGAGCCAGTGAGGGCATCAGGGACCCACATAAATGGTTAAAAGCTAAGATAAAGGCTTGATTGTAAAGTGGAAAAACTAAAGAATAACAGAAATTCATCAATATTTAATCAAATGTTGGTAAGATGTCATCCATTATTAATGTATGCCATTAATTTCATGTCAGCATCTTTCATTATTAAGTGTAGCAATCATATGAGTTGCATTATATTTAAAAATGATTTGTAGGGTTAGAAGATACTTACCTCTGTGAACACATCAGGAATGAAAGGAGTACTTGAGAAGGTTGAGAACAGCTCTTAGCTGGATCATTCCCATAGAAAAACCTACAAAACTCACACCGTATTATCTCAAAATGTGTTACACTTGATGTAGAAGTTCTCAGTTTTAATGTTCATAACACATGGGGAAATGATCTTTGATGTAAATAGCCCACCTCACAGATTTAATCCAAAAACCTGCCCAGTTTCTCCTGGCTAACCTGCTCCTCACTTCCCTTTCTGTCCTCAGCCCCATCAAACCCACCCAGGCCCAGGTATAGCAGGGATGCTTGTTTGTTATGAAGATGGGAAGTGGTGGAGCCAGGGGAACTCTCCTGGGTCCTCACATTTTCCCTCACTATCCTTAGAAACCTTTCCACCACCACTTGAAAGCCTCATCTGGAAGAAAAGCCTAATGTCCTCTAAGCACCACTAGGTGGCACCACACACTACAGATTGTCAAATTTCCTTTAGCATCAGACTAGGAGGCAGAAGGGATACCTCTGGGTGTCCCTCCCTAGTTTTTCCTCTTCTAGATGACTCTGGCCCCTCTAGGGTGACTAGCAGGCTGTATTCTCACCTCGGTGACAAGCTAGTGATCTGGGTCTCAGCATAGATGCTACAAGGACAGTTTTCTCATTCTCAACTCCAAGGTCAAAGTTAGGATACAGTCTAAGTGGGGACAGAGACTTATTATCCTAAAGGAATGGTCCTCAATCTGTGAGCCATGAACCCTTTTAGGGGGACCACATATCAGATACCCTGCATACCAGATATTTATATTCCAAGTCATAGCAGCATCAAAATTAGTTATGAAATAGCAAAGAAAATAGTTTTAGGCTTGGGGTCACCACAACATGAGGAACTGTATTAAAGGGTTGTAGCATTAGGAAGGTTGAGGACCACTGCCCTAGAGCAGCTCTGAGAGCACCTGGCTCCTCCCCTTCCTTCCTCTGGGGTCCTGCTCCCTCCCACACTCAGCTCTCTTCCTGTTATCTTACTTCTCCATTTTTCTTCTGTGCGCTTCAGTATTTCTGTCTCCCTTCCTTTCTCAACAAATCAAATGTAATCTTTTGCTTATGCATGCACATGGCAGGGGGCACATATCACATATATGAGGGTGCACATGTATGTTGAAGTTGACATTGGGTGTCTTCCTAGATCTTTCTGCACTTTATTTACTAAGGGAGGGTATTACATTGAACCTAGAATTTGCCAGTCCTGGCTAGCATAGGGATCCTGTTTCTGGAATTACAGATGGTCTCCAGTCACACTTGCTCAGTTTTTACATGAGCTCTGGAGACTCAAATTCCAGCCCTCATGATTATATGGCAGAAAGTATCCACAAGCCATCTCTCCAGCCACAAGATGTCTTCATTTTATCCAGTCAGTTGAATTTCAAAGCCAGCTGCTGGTGTCCGTTAAATGACAGACACAGGCCAATGCTGGAGATGCGATGAAGGCAGGCTGGAGTTCCAACTCCTGATAGGCAGGAGACCATCAGGGGTGACCCCTCAGTCTCTCTGGTCTTCAGTATCCTGCCTCTTTCCAGTCCCCTCTCTGCCCCAGTCTCTTGAGCTGCAGAGGATCTGGGTCCATAGGGGTGGCTCTCTGTCTGTCCCACCCCAAGTCTGTACCAGCTCTTACAGTAGAGTCAGACTGGACACAACTAGAAGCCCAGGGTCTTGAAACACTATCCTGAGACAACCCTGTCTCCCCACTTCTAGCAGTCAGGAGATGAAGGGAACTAGCTCTGTCACAAACCCCTCAGGGAAACATGCACCCTGGGCCTAACTGCCTCAGCCTTCTCGCCTAGGAAGTGAGCTGGTAGGACGAGCACTGCCCCCCCCTATCCGGCTCCCTTCTTGTCCTGTATCCTAAGGTTTTCTTTCACTATGCCCATGCTGGCCAGACACCAGATGTCCCTCACCTGCCTTGAAAATACTGGCCTCTCATCAGCACTACAAAAGATTTGCTGTCCTGGATGGACTCCACTGGACAGACAGGACAGCAATTGGGAACCATCCACAAGAAGAGGACCCTGTCTCCCTGCATTTCCATCCCCCATGACAAAAATCTCCCCAGCACCCCCCCATCCCTGTATAATTTTTGGTCTGGAAGCTGTACAGAGAGGCTGACCAGGGATGGCCAGCAAATGACTCAGTGACCTACTTAACCATCAGTACTACCTTCTCCTAACACTGTTAGAACCTGGGGAGAGGCTGGACTGTAAATACTTTCCTGCATGCACCCAGATCCTCCACCTCCTATATTTCCTTCCCTCTTTCTCCGTTACTCCTTTGTTCTTCTCACTGTACCTTTTTTTTCTTTCTCTAGAAATTACCACTAATCCCTGGCTCTTTCCTCTGGGTACAGTAACCTCTTAAATCACTTCCATCAAATACCTCCCCACAGTAGTTATGAAAAACAACTAAGACCCCAATTCAAGATTTACAGAAGTTAGCACATGCCTAAGATCCTACACATAGGTTGAGACAATAGGATGGAAAGTCCAGGGTCATCCTGGAATGCATATTTAGTTATAAGCCAGATGGGGCTATGTACCCAGTCTTGTCACATATATGCATGCACACACACACACATATGCATGCACGCTCACACGCACGCACGGCAGGGGAGAGGGAGAGGGAAAGTTACCTTAAAATGACACCCAAATACCACATTGTAAATATTTATATATCAATTAGCAAGGAATAACCATTAACATTTACTCACTAGATTATTCTGAGGGGAGAATAGAAGTGTCTGGCTTAGTACAGGGATATAGTAGGCATACAATAGTTGCTCTTTCTAGCTCAATACAGGGATATAGTGGGCATACAATGATAGATTCTCTTTTTAGCTCACTACAGGGATACACTAGGCATACAATAATAGCTACTCTTTATAGCTCACTACAGGGATACAGTAGGCATACAATTATAGTTACTGTTTCTATTTCACTACAGGGATACAGTAGGTACATAATGATAACTACTCTTTCTAGCTCCTCAAAATTCCCTGCACAGAGTCTTCATATTTCAGATTCCATCTACTCAAATTAGGTTTCTGCCAGTCTCTTCCCCTTGTGCTCTAACACGGGTGTCCGTTTGTCCTGTCTTTCCCTCTTTTAGTGGTCTACCCAATGGCAGGCTCAGGGAAGATTCTGACTTGACACTTTAGGTGTCTTTGTGTCCCTTCTCCTGTGGAATGCCCAGTTTGCCCTGTGTTCCAGGCCCAGGGGCATTTGAGCCTGTAAGCAACATCTCTAGAGTGCTAGCCACATCCAGAGAGGTACCCACTCAGGATACAGTAATGGTGTAGGTCTTACCTATACCCACACAGACATCCACATAAGTTTCCATTTCCCGAACAGAAACGTTAATCAAAAGTTCATTTTTAAAAAAGGGGGGGGCGGGGGAGTTTCAGTTTCAATTCTCCTTAAGCTATGATCTCATCTTTCCTGTCACTGCCTACTCTGCCTGGGATACAGTGCCAGCTGCCAAGGATCTGTATATGAGGGATCATGGAAAGAGGCCTAGGTTCCTTTGTGAAGCAGTCCTTCAGGACACTGGCAGGAGGATGCTTACAGGGAGGTAACGGTCCAGTGGGGAAGCATGGTAACATAGAAAAGAAGTGGTTTCCCTGTTCACTACTGCTCCACTCATATTAGCCAGAAATTGGAAACAACCTAGATGTCCCTTAACAGAGGAATGGATTAAAAAACGTGGTATAATTATACAATGGGATATTACTCAGCTCTTTAAAAAAACTGACACTAAGAAATTTACAGGCAAATGGATGGAACCAGAGAAAAATAATAAAGTAACCCAGACCCAGAAAGATAAATATGGTATGTATTCACTTATATCTAGATATTAGTCATTAAATAAATGATACGCTACAATCCAGAGAAGTAAGGCATATGGGAATGGGGGTGGAGGGGAGGAGAAATGTGGATCTCCCTGGAAGGAGGGCTGAAGCAGGAGGGGGGAGAACAGGAGGATCGGGTGGGGAGGGGACGGGATTGAGAGAGGGAACAAGGGGAAAGACAGCTAGAATCGAAGCTCATTTGAGGGGTGTTATGTAAACAGTACAGTGGAAACTTCCTACAATATGTGAAGGTGATCCTAAGGAAGTCTAGATAATGAGGGATATGGAACCCCTATTGGCCATCTCTTGTCACCAAACGAAGCTTGAAGGGCCAAGACTGGGTTTCACCCAATTGAGTTGTTGGCCATAGGAAATTCCTAAACAATCCAGGCTGTTGCCAAGAAAATAGGCTGCTCTCCACAAATTGACAGCAAGGCCCCATTGCTAAAGACAACACCCATTCAATTCATTGAACAAGGAGGGGTTGAGTTAGTGCTCATATAGAACCTTCACTCCTCAAGTTCTAATGTCTATGACACAGAAAGGTACCAATCCAACTACAAAACCTTTGATCTACAAATGTCCTGCCTGTAGTATATAAAGGGCAACGGTGACACAAACCTTGTGGGAATAACCAACTGATGTCTAATTTGGCTTAAGGCCCACTCCAAGAGATAGAACCCATATCCAGCTCTGCTTGGGTGGCCAAGAACCAGAGTCCAGATAGCTCAAAGACCTAGGGTAAAACCTAATACTACTGGTCTTTAAAAAAAATAACAATAAAATGACTCCTAATGACATTCTGCTACACTCACAGATCAGTGCCTGCTCAGCCATCATCAGAGTTTCCTCCTGCAGCACAGATAGGAACAGAAACAGAGGCCACAGCCAGACATTGTGTAGAGTGAGACCTTAGAGACAAATGGCTCCCCCCAGAGCTCAGGGAACCCCACAGAAGGAGGAGTGGGGGAGACAGAGGACACCAGGAGACTAAGGTCCTTCCTCCAGAACAAGTGAGCAAAGCTCACGTGAACTCAGAGGCTGAAGCAGTTGGCACACCAGCCCCCTGCGTACATGCTATTGCTTTCAGTTTTGTACTTTTACAGGACTCCTGAATCTAAAAACAAAGGGGTCTCTGATTCTTGGGCCTTCTCTTGGGGTTCTCTTATTTTCTGTTGGCTTGTCCAACTTAGAATGATGCTCTCCATTTTACCTTAATATATTTTATTTTGTTAAAAAAAATCTAGTCCTTTAAAAATATCAAGTGGCAATAGCTGTATTCTGGGGGTGGGGAGAAGACAAGAGAGTGATTTATCAATAGCTGAGGGAGCTCAGCCAGGAGGGAAGGGCTCTAAGGGACACTGGGGAGCCAGCAGGGCCCAGAGAAGTGGCTCGGGAACCCAGCCTCTGTGAGAAAGCCGCAAGAGGATCCCCACTGTCTGTGGGGCCCATGGAGGCTCTGAGGGAAGTGCCCAGGCCAGGTGGAGGCCTACGATGCAAGACAGTGTCTGGCACCAGAACAGACAGAGGGACACAGTGCAGGGCCCAGGAGAAACGACTGGCACTGGCAGAAGACAAGCCGAGGGCTTGGGTTGGTGTTTGGTTTTCCTCTACAAGCCTCTCTAGGACACTACGCTCACTTCTTAGCCTTGAGCTGGGCCCTATCAGTGGGACAGAAGCAGGCTGAGCCCAGAGCCAGGACTCGAGCTGGGTCTCTCTCATCAGCCAGGGAAGCAACAACATCTGAGGGCAGCAAGAGGGCTGCTCACAGTGGCTCCGACTCCTCTCCTGAGCATGTTAAGAGCCCCTCATCTTGCTCTCCAGTAAGTTAGTATTTGTATTCATGTCCTACTTCCCTGGTAAATCTGTTTCCTCACTATAAAAAGAAACACAGAGCAACCCACAGCTACCTCACGCTGACTTTCAGGGATGTGAGACACCCAGAAGGAAGAGCTTCAAATGCTGAGTCAAATGCCTTGGCCCTTGGCTGGGCTTAGGGTCTTATAGACCCTCCCTACGCCACCACGCCCCACAGCCAGCTTGTGCTTCTCCACTGCACACTGTAAACGCCACATTTATTTGTCGGAGGCTCTCAAGCCTCTAGTAAGCACAGGATAGCAGGGCTCTCCCCACATGCTGCCCTGAGCCCAGCTCCTCAAGCATGCAGGATGGAACTGAGGAATGAGACCAGGTGTCTTCGGGAGCAGTCCCCCGGAAAGACAAACTCTCCTCTGTCCATGCCCTCCCCTCCTAGCCTGTCTGGCTTGCCAGTAGCAAGCTGGGGCTGGCCGGCCCCACTGCAGCACCCGCTTCTGGGGGCCCGCCCTCCCTGCTCTTCCCTACTGTCTGATCTCCCTGGGGTCAGAGTCACGGTCCATGCGCTTTGGTCTTTCACACGGGGGATACACAGGCTGCTTCTGTGTCTCTTGTCTGTCCAGTCAGGTTATCAGCGGGCTGGGCTGTGTGTCTTCACTCTGTAGCAAGCTCAGGACTAGGCACTTTGTTGGGGATCGAATACGCAAAGGCCTGTCCAGAGCACCACCACAGCTGAAAAGCGCCAGGCACCTGACTCAGCACTGGCCAGCAGCAGATGTCTCCCAGCCTCCTGGGCTCCTGGTTGGGCCTGAAACATCTTCAGGCCTCAATTTTCTGTGGCCCAGACCAACTCCTCCTATCCCAAGAGGTTTCTCTGGCTTGGCACCAGGTTCAGGGTTAGGTCATGGATGGACAACCAACACTGCTACTTCAAGGCCCTAAGGACAGCCTCCAGCTTCATGACCACAGCTAGGTCCCCCTTCACCTTCAGCCGCCCACTCATGTAGGCTCCCAGGGGCCGCAGTTCCCTGCACAGCAAGGCCTGTAGGTCTGCCTCCGTCATCTCCACCACCACATCAGGGATGCCATCAGGTGCTCCATGTCCCACTCGGCCTTGTCCTGTTGGGAGGAAGCATTGGCATCAGTAGGAGGATACACTGTGGGGAGAAGAGGGTAGCACATCCCACTGGGAACAGCAATCACTGGTTACTTCAAGTTCTACAGCTGGGGGTGTGGCCTAGACTTAACCCCAGCCCCATACACACAGTGGTGGTAGGACAGGTTGTAGTCAATGACTTCAAGTCTGACTGACTTCTTGTTGCTTCTGTTTGCAAACTTATGAATGATAACCTTGCTTCACAAGGTCACAGTGTTAAGTACAGTGCCTGGTATGCAGTAGCCTGTTACCTATGAGGCTCCTGGTTACCTGACTGAGCTGTGCTGCTGATCACAGAGAGACAAAAGCTCAGGCTGTAGTTATGGGCTCATTCCAATCAGGTGGCAGGAGCAGGGGACAGTCTTTAATGGACCACGGGGCTGGGCACAAGCAACCTAAGTGGGAAGGGAAGGACAGAGGGGACAGCCACACCTGCAGTAAGGTCCAGGAAGTAGATACTCTGGGTGCCACTGGGCAAGATGACGTTGAACTGATAGCAGGCCCCAACCTGGCTGACCAGTGCCTCTGACAGGAAAGGTTGCAGGGCAGTGAGAAGCCCCTCAGCCACAGGCTGCTTCGGGCTGGGCTCAGCCCCCGCCCCAGCATGACAGGCAGGCGGCTCCACTTCACTTATCATTTCCAAGGTGTCTACTGGTGGCCGCCAGGGTTGAGGAGGAAGACAGAGAACACGTCAGCGCTCTGCAAAGGTCAGCATCACTCCAAACCTTTTGTGAGGCCTCTTCTTACAGCCCTTCATGCCCTGTACAATTGTCTCCTCGCCTGAGATGCCTCTGAACTCCCAACCAGCATTCCTAAACCATGTCTAAGACACTCTGGCCTGCACTGCAGCATGACCCTCTTCCTGGCTACTCTTGCAGGACTAGAGCATCTTCCCACAGAGCTACCAGGGCCTCTACACACTTGCATGCTTGGGCTCTTCTCCATGCCCTCACTCCAGTCAGCTCTAGAAATGGGGTAGAATGAACCAGCTAAGCGAAGGGGACTGGGAGAAAAAACTACTATGTGATGAGCCATGAACACTCCACACTCCTTACCTGGTCTTGAGGACGGAGCACCTCCTACTGCTGAGTTCATGCTCCCTCCCAGCAGGTGGAGGGCCAACTGTTGGAGGGTGCTGTCCAGGCTGGGCACAGCTGGGCTGTCTTGGGGTGGCTGCAGCACAGCCTCTACTGCCAGCTCTACACGGTCTACTTCCAGTCCCCAAGCTCTGGTCACATCATTGATCTCCAACTGGGGGCAGTGAAGGAAGAAATGTCCGTCATTTCCTAAGGTCTTTCTGGACGTCTCTAGATGACTCACTATAGACACATATGGACACGAAGGTTCTCCCTGGAGTCTCTCCTGACAGTGATGAGGCAGTGGGGGCTGGGGCTGCAGGAAGGCAGTGGGGGCAGAGAGCAAGGGCTGGGGCTGTAGGAAGGCAGTAGGGGGCCAAGAAGCTATTGGCCAAAATGCAGCCTGGGAAGAGTTGGGGAAGTGGCAGGCTGAGGAAGAGGTGAGGGGGGGTCCATAACCCCTACAGATGGGAAAGGGAAGCGGGAAATGCACACTTGCATGAACCAGGACTTGAGAAACATGTAACAGACACACAACACAGCTCCTGAGATTTCCTTCCAGTTCTGCTCCACCAGGAGGTGTAGACGCACCCTGGGCCATGGACCCTCAGTGACTTTCACAGCCTAGATGGGCTTCTTCCAAACTGCCCCTCTACCAACAAAGCAACGCAACTCTGTTTAAGAGTAGTTTATCTTTCTAAAGATGAATTGTAACTGGATGTACTTGTATGAAGAATCTGGTAGCAGCACATGACTTGAGTTGTACTGGTTTGAACACTGCGTTGTAGCTCTGGCCCAGAGTTGCCCTTTACCATGAATGGTTCTCAGAACCAAGTGGGTTAATTTCTGGGCCTTGGGTCCCCTCCTCTATTAAAATAAAGAACACTGGCCTTCTCGCAGTGCAGATGGGAAGCTGAGACGCTGTTGGGCAGGCATAAGTACTCTGTAAGTCATAAAATGCTGGGCCTGGGGCCCGTGGGCTCAGTGGTAGAATGTTTGTCTAGCATGCCCACAGCCCTGGGTTCCATCCCCAACTGGCATTGTCAAAAACAACAAAACGAAACAACCACTGTGCCATGAGGACCACTGTTATGGCCAAAAGTAGTTTTTTAGTAGGAATTTCACTCTGCTTCAGTGGGGTGCTTGGTGAAGTTAGACAAAAACTAGGCCACACAGGAGCGGAAGTTATATATGGGAGGGACATGCCTCTGAACATAAAACAGACAGGAAAGAAGGTAAATCAGGTACATTCCAGTGTACCTAATTTCTCACACATGTAGAGCAGGAACAGGAAAAAGATTCAAGTGCCTCAAGTCTCTGTTCTGCTCCAAACAAGAAAATAAGCCCATAAAAATGCACAAGCAGGAATCCCAAGCACGTGGCTGCACCAGGAGGGCCCTGATCCTCTCAGCTACCAGAACAGAAACTACAGAGGGCCCTAAGCCCAGGGCTGTGACCACAGCAGCAGTGAAGGGTGGAACCTCAGCAGTCTGGGCAGAGGCCCAAGGACCTCCACTAGAGGCCTCTTTTCAGGGTACATGGGCTCAAGTTGTGCGGCCTGGGTCACCTCTGCTCCTCTACTTGGGGCCTCACCCAGATTCCTTTCAGGAGGTAATGCTGGGACATATAGTGAGCCAAGAGCCGTGAGATGTCACCTACCAGGAGTTGGTCACCGATCTTGAGCTTCTCCATCTGGATCTCCTGCAGTGGCCTCCTGAGTAGGGCCTTGGTCATGGCATTGTGGGCCGTCATTCGAGTGGCTGTGTTTAGGTCCTTCACAGCCATCACAGACAGCACTGGGTCCCAGATGCGAAACTGGACATCGGCTCCCACAGACAACACAGCCCCATCCTTAGAGGCCAACTGTTTCAGAAGACCACAATAGAGATGACATTAAAAGGGCCAGGAGCTCCTGGGAGGTCGTACCCATTGAGACTGTCCAGACTGACCCACCTGCCTGGCAGCTAGCTCCTCAAAGACAAAATGGTATCTCCAAGTAGGAGTCAGGTATGGCTCAAAGCCTGGGTATACCCATAATTCACCATGCACGGCCCCATTCCTTCTGTGCAGGGCAACCGAGAAGGCCCTCACCTTGCAAGGAGGAACATTGAAGGCTCGGGTCCTCAGATCCACCCTCTGGAAGGAGTCAATAAAGGGCAGGAGAAGAACCATGCCAGGCCCCTGGGGGGTACGGATCCGGCCCAGTCGAAACACGATCATCCTCTCATAGGTGGGCACGACCTGTTCACGATATCAAAAGAAAGGGTTTGGAAGGGGTTTGTCTAGGTTGGCCAATGTCATTTTCCAGATCCCTCTCTGATCAGACCCTTACTTCACCCTTTGGTGTGTATGGTGTGTGGGAAGGCCAGAGGCAAACTGGGCCACTTCCTGTTTTCCTTTTCCTCTGCCAGGAGGTGAGGACTTCCTGTGGTATACTGTGACGCTGTGCTCAAACACACTGTGTCAAGCAACCAAGGACTGACACTTCTGAAGCTGAGGGCCACTGACTTCCCAATGGTCACTGATCACAGTGACAAAAATACCAGTACACTTAGTTATGTGAGATGAGAGAACCCAGGCTCGGAGACACTGAACTCAGGTACTCGTTCAGAGATCACAAGTGAAAGGGTTGTAATATGAACACTGTTCTCAGTAACGGGCCATGTCTCAATCACTGCATGTACTGACTTGAGCCAGAGAAACTTTACATCTGTGGCCTGAAGCTAATCATGACTCATTCCAGGGAACGGTTTGCTCTTGGATTAGCTGGGGAAAAGGCCTGGTTGCTCTAACAAATGCCCTGAGCAAACAGCTTCACCACCTTCAGCTCCCTGGAGCCCCTCGAGAAATAGTTAAATCTAAATTGAGAACTAAAGGCAAGAGAGGCCAAGCCACCCATCCATGGTCACAGGGCATTTATTTCAGTGGCACTATAGAAGTAGGATCTGGGTTCATCTTTCTAGACCACACAAACACAGAGGCTTTCTGACTTCACTGCCTAGGGCCATGCCAAGGGAAAGGCCTGCCTGGGCTTCACATCACTGGAGCTCTCGGGGTGGTGCTCAATTGCAGCTATATCTCTCCTCATTTCCTAGAAGCACCACCACTTATGAGAATTAAGGCCTGAGTTCCACTGGGTGAGCTGGGCGTTTTTCTTTCAATTGGACCTAGGCGAAAGGTCCAATAGAAAGAAAGGTCCAATTGAAAGAAAGGCAAAGGTATGTGTCTAGATTCCAGAACTCAGAAACTTATCTCTACTCCTTACTGGTTCCCAGGATGACTTTGGTTAAGTATGGACCTTAGTTTATTCATTGAAAGGGTGGGAACTGTCCTAGTTTCTCCTGTAGCTGTCATAAACACTGTGAGCAAAAGAAACTTGGGGATGGGGGTCGGTGAGAGGCATGGGAGGATGGGAGGGAGAGGGAGCTGCGATTGATATGTAAAATAAGATTGTCTCTAACCTAAATTAAAAAAAAAAGGAACTGGGGAGAAGAGAGTTCATTTGGTGTGCAGGCTACAGACCACACTGGGAGAAGCTAAAGCAGGAACTCAACAGGAAACTGAGGGCATGACTGAAGCAGAGTCTTTGGAGGAATGACATACTGGCTTGCCCCACACCCTCTGCTTGCTCAACTAGCTCAGGCCCAACTGTCTAGGGATGGCACCACAGCGGGCTGGGCCCTCCTACACTACTCAGCAAGCAAAATGTCCCCAAAGACATGGCCACTGACCATTTGATGGAGATAGTTCCTTAGTAGAGGTGCCCTATTTATAGGCATGCCAAGTTGACAACTTGACACGATAAGCCTTCAAAAATTAAACAACCCTGCCCTTGCCTGTTTCATAGAGGTGTGGTAATAGTTAGAGGCAAGGGGCTAAATACGGGGGATCCATTCATCAATGCCAACCCTTTCACTGCGTCTCCCGACTCCCCAACAGCATCCAGCCAGACTTACCTTGAGAGCAAACCAACCAGAAATGGGGAAGGTGAGCAGCAGCAGCAGGAACCCCAGGAAACTGATGAGGCCATGGCAGAGACAGGAGGACCAGCTCTCAGGTGCATCTGGGGAAGAAAGAGCAGAAGCAACCACAGAATACCAGATGGGCCTGGCAAGACAACTTCAAGTACAGTATCCCATGAGTACAGTGGGTCATGCGAACACTTTACCTGTCTTCTGCTTAGGAGGCTCCCCATAGCTGGTTAGGGACCACCTATCATAACTAACTGGTCTCAAGTGCAACACCCTACATAAGGCTTTTCTCTCCCAGGTAAGAGCCATTGAATCTGAGAACACATAGCAAGAATAAACAATTCCTTTTCCAATGTGTATTGTCCATCCAAACCTGGGAGAGAACACTCACGCTGGGTGGAACTAACACTGCTGCTGTTAGCACATTCCTCTTTTACCAGAAGTATGCTTTCAAGGGGTCCTTATGGAGAAAAGGCCTCAATGAAAAAGGCCAAAATGGTCATTGTTCATCAATAAGAGTCACAGTGAGACTAAAGTGTCCCTTTCTAGCTTAGTCCTTACTCCCACTTTAATACACTAATTTTTAAAATGTATATTTCCATTCAAGCAGTTTGAAGGGAAGAGCTGGGAAGATGAGGCTAAAGACAAAGATTCTAACCCTTGGAGAACCAAGAAGAAAATGGCTGTTAAGCAGACAGCCCCAGATAGGAAGGCATTTTGATAGAATATTTGTTTTATCCTTCAGGGAGCACCTGCCTGCAGGGCCAAGTCCCAAACTCTGACCTCTTCAGGAAAGAAATCTTTGGTCAGAGGCAATCCTAAACGCAGAGGGCAGAAGACGGGAAATTCATTCGCCAATGCCAAAGCGTTCAATGTACTGTCAATACAGAAGAACTACAGAGGGCCCAAATACTTCAAGGTCAGGCTGAGAAGTATGAGCCAAAGGAGCCGCAGAAGGCTCTGGAGTAAGAACAGCCAAAGCAAACAAGATGGGGAGATTGCAGGCCTGCCTTTTTGTTCTGTGCATCTTCACCAGTACACAGGAGACTCCTGGTCCCTGCGTTGCTACCCTAGGGTGACTCTTTTTCCATTTCTCTGAAGGTGCTTTTAGGTTGCTCGTGGCCTCCTCCGCCTAGGATTCTGTTTTCTTTTTATGCACGATGGGCTATCCTGAAAACCGTAACGTGATGAGCTGAGGTTCGGGAAGATGGGGCTACGCTGGTTCCGAAGCTGCAGCTGTGGCCCTAGGGAGGACAAAGTAGCAGCATCCCAACGCCTTTTCTGGCATCCTCTCCCCATCCTATTCCCTTCGCACTCCCTCCTCCTAAAGGCAGGGAGTACAGGTCTGGGGGTACTGGCCAGTCCCTCTAGGTACGCTGTGCTGGGAAGCCACTCACCGGGCCCCGGCCCCACGCCGCTCGGCTCTGGGGACAAGCAGCCCTTCTGCGAACCCACAAAGCCGAAACTTGACTGCTGGAAACGATCAAAATCCCCTAACGGCAGCGCCCGATAGCCAGACCTGCCGAACATGACTTCAGACCGGGGACACGCCCCGCGCCTCCACCGGCCTCCAGCCCTGCCCAGCCCGCTACAGCTCCGCCCCGCCCCGCCTCGCTTGCCGCTTCCGGCTTCACTCTCGTCGCTAAAGACAGTGGCTGCACAGGAGCAGGAAACAGGCCGGGTCCGCAACCATGTTCCACAGCGCCACCTCCGCTGGGAGGACCGAACTGCGGTCGCACAGTTTGGGCACTTGGCCTTGGTTCTAGAGCTTCTTGAAGGTCCCGGCCACCTCTGCCACCTCTTTCCTGATCTTTTACCTGGCCTTAGGAAAGGAGGAGAGGCTTAAAAAGAGCATTACAGGAGCCTTTTCTCCAGAGTCAAGGAAATGTCGTCTGCCTCACAGCACTCCTCCAAACAACACACAGAGGGATGGGCTTTCTCCAGATTTAGGCTTCCTCCTGGGCATGTTTGGCAAATTGGTTTTTGTTTCCCCACAGTTAAAAAAAAAACAGCTTGTCATACAGAGCGCTGTACTTATTTGCTTAATGATGGCAGATCCAAGTCACTGTGAACAAGGTGAAGTCAGGTCTGAACTTTGGTATAAAAGAGAAATTCCACATTCAGACACCTCAGGAAGCATGGCAGCATGTGGTGATGGTGGTCATGGTGGAGGTGGTGGTGGTGGAGGTGATGGTGGTGGTGGTGATGGTGATGGTAGTGGTGGAGGTGATGGTGGTGGTGGAGGTGATAGTGGTGGAGGTGATGGTGGTCATGGTGGAGGTGGTGGTGGTGGAGGTGATGGTGGTGATGGTGATGGTAGTGGTGGAGGTGATGGTGGTGGAGGTGATGGTGGTGGAGGTGGTAGTGATGGTGGTGGAGGTGATTGTGGAGGTGATGGTGGTGGAGGTGATTATGGAGGTGGAGGTTATTGTGGAGGTGATGGTGGTGGAGGTGGTGGTGATGGTGGTGGTGATGGTGATGGTGGTGGTGGAGGTGATGGTGGTGGAGGTGATTGTGGAGGTGATAGTGGTGGAGGTGGTGGTGGTGGAGGTGGTGGTGGTGGAGGTGATGGTGGTGGTGGAGGTGATGGTGGTGGAGGTGGTGGTGGTGGAGGTGATTGTGGAGGTGATGGTGGTGGAGGTGGTAGTGATGGTGGTGGAGGTGATTGTGGAGGTGATGGTGGTGGAGGTAGTGATGGTGGTGGTGGGGGAGGTGATGGTGGTGGTGGTGGGGGGAGATGATGATGATGGTGGTGGAGGTGGAGGTGATGAAGGTGGTGATGGTGGTGGTGGAGGTGATGGTGGTGGTGATGGTGGGGGGGGAGGTGATGATGATGGTGGTGGAGGTGGAGGTGATGAAGGTGGTGATGGTGGTGGTGGAGGTAGCAGTGGAGGAGGAGGAGGAGGAGGAGGGGGTGGGGTGAATATAACACAGAGCTATAAGATGGCAGAACTATCACAACATTACATCAGTCCCTTGATCCAGGTACTTGAGGTAACTTGTCTTTTCATGGCTTTAGAAAGCCCTATGGAGGGAGCAAATATACTGCAATGCTGGGGAGGCTGCCAGGTAGCCATTTTATAAAGCCAACAAAGAATGAAACTTTCCCAATCTTGCTTCCCTAGATTCCTGCTATAGCCCGTTTCCAAGTCCCTCTGCCCATGACTACTGTGATGGCTAATTTTAGTCAACTTGACACAGTCTAGGGTCATCAGAGGGGAGGAAACTGCAATTGAGAAAATGTCTTCATAAGACTGGACTGAAGACAAGCTGTAGAACATTTTCTTAATTAATGATTGATGTGGGAGGGCCCGTGCCATTGTGAATTCTATAAGAAAGTAGCCTGAGCAAGCCACTGGGAGCAAGTCAGCAAGCAGAGCCCTCCATGGTCTCTGCATCAGCTCCTGCCTCTAGGATCCCACCCTGTTTGAGTCCCAGTCCTGGCTTCCTCCATCGATGGGCCATGATGTGGCAGTGTAAGCAGAATAAACCCCTTCCTCCCCAACTTGCTTTTTGGTCATGGTGTTTTATCACAGCAATAAAAAACAGAAGACAAGTTGGTACTGGGAGTGGGGTTTTAGTTAATTCCAGATGTAGTCATGTTGGAAACCAAGAAGAGCCATCATAATTCCACCCCTTGTCAACTTGACTCACAATCATGTCTCCTTATATTGTGATTAATTTTCAAATGAAAACAGTAAGTAGGTCATAGTAATGCCTAAGCATAAAGATTCCTCATACAACTGCAAATACATTATATATTTAACAATGTCATAATTACACCTAACATGACTATCCCTCATACAACTTCAAATACATTATAAATTTAGAATAGGTGGCAATGTCCCTTGAGGGACATTCTTTTAGTGTCTCAAACTTAAATATGATAACCATTGATATTTTCTTAATTGATGTTAGATCACATGATAAAGAAATTGAGGAAATAAAACACAAAATAAGACAGAAACATCTGCACACTACATTTTATTGTTCTTAGTTTGATGGCCCAATTTTAGAGGTCAAGGAGGTATGGGACACTTTCAAGGCTCCTCATAGACTCTAGGATGTTGGGTCTCCCTTCAGCACCCCCTCACCCCAAGTCTAAATTTACCAAAGCAGGGACCTGTTATCATCCCTTCTGATCTGTTTCATATAGAAACACGGCATAAGACACCAATACACGCCGGGCGTTGGTGGCGCACGCCTTTAATCCCAGCACTCGGGAGGCAGAGGCAGGCGGATCTCTGTGAGTTCGAGACCAGGCTGGACTACCAAGCGAGTTCCAGGACAGCCTCCAAAGCCACAGAGAAACCCTGTCTCGAAAAAACCAAAAAAAAAAAAAAAAAAAAAAAAGACACCAATACACATAAAATAAAAATAAAGAAATAAAAAGAAAGAAAGAAAGAAACATGACATAGGATGGATGTATACAAGAGCCAGAAAGTGGGAGAGAATAGATGAAGTTGGAAGTCAAAGGCCCTGGCCAATGAGACTACCTGTAGGCATGCCTTTTCCCTCGTCTGCTGAGTTCTGGATTTCTTTTCACTGGTCAAGAGCTAACTTTCTATCTCGTTGCTTTCTCCACTGCTTCTGGCCAGTTCTCCCCCCTGCCTCCCTGCTTCCCACCACTCACATTCACCAGACCCACTGTCACTGAAGGCAGCATCCTGTTCTGTCTTTCACCAATGTCCTTCCACCTGACCCAGGTCCTCCTCTGCATCCCACAGTCACTTCTCATAAGCTTCCTGTCTCAAGGTCATCAGAGAGACACAGCTGACACCATGTACCAAACCCTTCACCAATCTCACGCCTTATGATCGAGCCCCTCTTCTTGGGGATAATTTTTCAGGAGCTCCATCTCAAATCTGAAAATGGTCCTGACTACTCCCCAAACAGGCTCTCGTGTTTCAGACCTCCACTCCCTTCCAGGTGCTAATCTCCCTTTAAGGTGTCTCCACAACCGCGAATCCTGGTGACATTTTACCGTATGCTCAGTTGTCAGCTGAGGGATGACTTTCCAGGCAGACACATCCAAATACTGGGTCAAAGTCTTCATTTGGAGCAAAGTGGGGTGTATTTCTTAATAAAGAACTAGCCTCTCAAAGTGGGGGTTCTTAAATAGGGAAGCAGAAAACTGTGCGGTGAGCTGAGTAGCTCGCAGAAGATCTGGAATAGGGAAATGCCTCTGTCAACTCTGCATCTCTCCTAGTATGCATATTGTGTGCGTGGCAGGATCTTTTCTCGTAGAGAAGTCAAACTCGCGATCTTTCTGCTTTCAGAGCTATGCCATCACCGATGGCTTGCTTGTTTGCTTGTTTGGTTAACCTCTCTGATTCTACCCGAGGTGGATCCAAAACTTGCCAATCTTTCTCTTGTAACTCCCTAAGGGTGACTTCAAAACCAGCCTCTCCGCCCCTAGACCCGCCCCAGTCCTGTTTCACTTCCTCTTGGGGGGCGGGTCCTCGGCGGGTACCTCCCTGCTGGACAGCTCAGGCTGCTCAGTTTTCTGGCTCAAGTGTGGGATTCACTTCCCGCCCTCACAGACCCAATCCAGAAATCGAAACTGCACCGGTTTCCATGCAGAAGGCGCCCGCGTCTTTTGGATCTCCCTGCCTCCAACAGGAACCCATCCCGACCCCTACGCCCACCATGCCTTCCCCAGAGGACCCCTCCGAAGACCATGAACACAGCCAGAGCCCCGCGGAGGTACTACTGGGTTAAGAGATGAAGGGCTGTTAGGGTTTTATTTGTTTACTTCGGTGGAGGAGTTGAGAATGAAGAAGGTTTTTATAGAGAAGGTAACTTAGTGTCCTAGAGAGATACCAAGGTCCTGACCCTCCTGTCTGGGCAGGGGTAGGACGGTTAGCAGAGAATAAAAAGAGTAACCAGGATGAGTTAGGGGAGCCATGGGGATAGTTGTATTGTAATGAGATGGGCCACTCCTACCCCCTAGAGCCTTGTCTTTTAGCTTCTACCTCAGATGAAAAACGTCCAGGGAGAAGGCCAGGCCAGGAGTCCCCTTTGCTCTAGCCTGAAGCTAAAGGCATGTCCCAAACATGACAAAATCATTTCCACCCCTCACCCGCAGCTGTGGTAACATATGCCAAGAGCAACAGTACTCTAGATACAGGTATTGGAGTATGGTGGTAAGTTCCAGGCCAGCCTTTTCTACAAAGAGTGTTCAAGACTACTAAGGGCGACACAACGAGACCCTGTTTCGAAACAATACAAAAGAAACAAGTAAAACTTGGCCTCAACCAAAGTGTTGTCATGGCAAAAACCACTGCCGCTCATGTGGCGTCTCTGACTTTTGATTTTCATTTTATTTTATTCTATGTGTATGAGGTTTAGGGATTTTTTGTTTCACTTTCTTGAGCTAGGGCCTCACTATATAGTCTTGGCAGGGCTGGAGCTCACTGTGTAGACCAGGCTGGCCTCAAACTCATAGAACCACCTGTCTTTACCTTCTGAGTGCTGGGATTAAAGGTGTGCACCACCATGTCCTCTTGTCACTTCTCTTAAGGAAGCTTAGCTCTTGGTCCTCCTGGAAGTTTTATTACCTCAACCTGCCATACTTAGAAACTTCTATCCCTTTAGTCTTTATTCTCCCCCAACCCCCCTCCACAAAAGCTCAGATAATACCACATTGCCATAACGTTTTAATTATTAACGCTATATAGCTAAGGGTTAACAATACTAGTTAATATTTATGGGTAATTCTCATGTGCCAGGCACTATACTGAGCACTTTATACCCTTTAAACAATAGTTATACTTTCTGTTTCTATGAACTTAACTATTCTTAATATGTCATATAAATGGAATTGCACAATATTTCTTACTTTATGGGAGACATGTTTCACTTATAATGTCTTCAAGGTTCATCTGTGCTGTTGCATGTAATCAGAACTTCATTCCTTTTAAAGGTTGGATGATATTCCGTTACATGTGCAGACACATTTTGTTCATGCATTCATGTGCTAATCGGCACTTGGGTCGCTGTGACTATTGTGGTTAGTGCTACCTGGCGGGCGTGTTAGTATATAAATATCTGCTTAGAATTTTCCCCCAGTTCTTCTGAGTATATATGAAAGGTGGAAGTTCTGATCGTATGTTAGTTCTGTGTCTTAACTTTTGGAGAACCATAAGTACTTTAAATGAGGTTGGTGCTTTAGTGTGTCCTTGAAGGCAAAGATGTATCCAGTCTTGTATCTCAGGACCTATTAGTGAGTTTAGTGATAAGTAAATAGGTGCCCAGCAAATGATGCCGTGAGGGCTGCAAGGCCTGAGTAAATGAGGAACTGGGGTGCTGATAAGCCAGAGTATGACCCAGTGACTCCCCGGAATGGAATGCGAGGTCCTACCCTTTCCAGCTTCCAGAGACCAGTGGGGGAGGGGGAGGAGCAGGAGTCCTGTGCTTTCCCGAGGCCTTATTTCCCTCTTCGATTCACCAGCAGGCCATGAAGGAGGAATTCCAGTTTCTGCGCTGCCCAGGCTGCCAGACCCAAGCCAAGTGCCCCAAGCTGCTGCCTTGCCTGCACACGCTGTGCTCTGGATGCCTGGAAGCGCCGGGCTTGCAGTGCCCCATCTGCCAGGCGCCTGAGTCCGGCGCTAATGCAGAAGCCTTGGATAACGTATTTTTCGAGAGCTTGGAGCGGCGCCTGGCGGTGTTCAGGCAGATCGTAGATGCGCAGGCTGCGTGCACCCGCTGCAAAGAGTCGGCTGACTTTTGGTGTTTCGAATGTGAGCAACTCATGTGCCGCAAGTGCTTCGATGCGCACCAGTGGTATGTCAAGCACGAGGCCCGGCCCCTGGCAGAGCTCCGCGACAACTCAGTTCGCGAATTTCTCGACGGTACGCGCAAGTCCAACATCTTTTGCTCCAATACCACCCATCGCAAACCTACGCAGACCAAGTGAGTGGAGCATCTTGGAGCCAGGGGTGGGAGCTTCAGGGAGCTTGTCATTCAACAAGGGGTCCGCTGACCTGTAGTCGTTTCTAATGCCCCTCTGAAATATATACATGGCGCTGCAGAATCATTCTTGCACTCTTACCTAGTATGTCTTTAGTACAAAATTTTTTTTTCAGAGTGCCATTGCAAGTGAGGTGTAAAAACAGTACGCTTTAGTACAGGCCATCAAATTTTAGAAATCTTAAGAATGGATTTTTCCTCAGGGGCCCCAGGGAATCTCAGTAAGGCTGGGTATTAAGGGGCAAATAAATGGTGTCCCAAAAGTCGAAACTATGTCATCGGGGAATGCTGTTTGAAATTATCTATATACAAAGAACAAAGAAAAAGAAAAATTCACTTGTAATTATTTTTGTTAGAGTATTTCGATTTCATGTGTATAAAGGGGATATATTTATATAGCTCACAAACAACATCTGTACTAAGTAAAAGAGAGTGCCATCTCTGTTCCGTTTCCATCTACTTAGTTTTCCACACTGGCCCTCCTTCACACGGCAGCTGCCATTACTGATTTTGAATGCTTCTTTTCAGTTTCTTTGTGAATATACTTGCAGGTAGGGTCACTTTATAAGGGCGTGTTTCTTCCTGCTTAGCCAGTAAGGTAGTATATGATAAATAGACTTTTTGACCACTCAGAAGTGGATTACTTGCTTACGATTCTGCCTAATAGGGGTAGTAGTCCTTGGGAAACTGGTGGCAACAGAAAGCGTTTTCTCATTTGCAACACCCTTTGACCTACAGATTGTGTACTGCAGGAGCTTGCTTCCTTCCTGAGTCTCTGAGGAGTCCTGCCCGCTTGCCGGATTCCTCGGCGTATATTGCGGCTTAATTTGGTTCACTGTTAAGATCAAAAGACTTTCTGTCCATTTATTGGCCCCTGCATTTCTTCCTTTGTGAATTGCCAGTTTGGAGGCCTGTTTGCTTTTCCTTTGAAGCGTTTGTCCCTCTGTAAGAATCTGTTGCAGTATTATTTCACTTAGTATGTGTTACCATATTTAAAATAACTCTTCATTTTCTGGCAATCAGTCTCTCTCTTGATGTAGTCCAAGGAAGAGCCAATGCCTATGTTAGAAATCATCTCTATATGTTCTATGGTCTTTTAGTATGATAAATGAATGTCTTTTCTTTTGAACTGGATTTTGGCTCTTAGGAGGAAAAACTCAACTTGGATCTTGATATACTATCAATTTCATTCCTAGCTAGGTTACATTTTGAAATATTTTAATTAGGCTATTCTTTGTAACTATAAGTATAATCAATTTAGTATGAAGTATGTATGGTTTGTGCATTAGGTTTTGTCTGTTTTATACTAACCTCTTTAATTTGTAATCTTTCATTTCTTTGAGCATGATAATGCAGTCCTTCATAATAGAGGCGATGTTTTATCTCCCCAACCCCCCAGAGATGTGCTCATCTTCCTGCAAACTCTAACCCACTTCAAGATTACTTATAAGCCTGGATGTCTTTAATACCAGCACTGGGGTAGCAGAGGCAGGCAGATCTTTGTGAGTTTGAGGACAGTTTAGTCTACATAGCAAGTTCCAGCCTAGCCAGTGCTACATAGTGAGACCCTGCCTTTAAAAAAATTACTTATAATGCTAAAAATATGAATGCCATGTAAATAGTTTTTAATTTAATATTTAGGAATGATTATTTAAAAATCTGTACAAGTACAATATGAATTGTGTTTATGTGTGTGTATGTTATTCACATGAACACAAGAGTGCATGTGTGTGCTCATGCATGTGGAGACCAGGGGACAATTTTGGTTGTTGTTTTTGTTTGTTTAGCTTTGTTTTTAAACTAGTGGTTATGGAAAAACTTTTTTTCACCGATCCTAGTGCCATAAATAACCCACAATTTCCCTTTGGCCACAAGTCAAAATAAGCCACCCTGGCCTTTGCCATTGAGCTGGCATGTAACTCATGCTGGGGAGCACACAAGAGGTGGCTTTAAACTGGGGTTAGGGTCTGTCCTCAGGTCACTGACGTTTGATCACCATGCCTGTGGAGTGCGTTGTTTCAGCCAGCCATCAAGCCATGCCTGGAGTGTGCCGTGTTCTCTATTAGTATTGGTGCATGAGTGCAAACAGGCCCAGCCTTGTCTTCTTGGGTATCCGTGGGGTGGACAAACAGGGCCAGCAGTGAGCAGCAAGGGTGACAAGTAGGGAGCCTGTCTCACTAATCACCCTTCATGCCTGTGTTTTCACAATGACTCTGATTACAATATCTCTTCTGTTATGTTCCCTTGGCAGTGTTACCTGCACAGGACACAGGTATCTAATGTGTGGGCAGAAGGAAGCCATAAAGGCCTAGATTGCAGAAATTCCCCTGCCCAGCCTGGATGGACAGAGAGGCAGCTTCTAAGAGGGTGTCATATTGACTTAGATTAGCAGTGCTCCTAGGAAGGAAAGGAAGGTCAGAAGGGGCAAGGCTTCATGTGCAAGATTAGAGAGAGCTCTGGAGAATCTGTGAGTCATAGAAATTGCACTATCCTGGGGCTGGAGAGATGGCTCAGAGGTTAAGAGCACTGAGTGCTCTTCCAGAGGTCCTGAGCTCAATTCTCAGCAACCATATGGTGGATCACAACCATCTATAATGAAATCTGGTGCCCTCTTTGGGCACCAGATGTATACATGTGCACATGTATACATAATAAGTAAATAAATCTTAGAAGAAAAAAGAAAGAAAGACATTGCACTACACAGGGACAGGAAAAGTGAGCTGGGATCAGACACATGGGACTTGGAAGAAGTTATGATTTTATTTCACATTTTCCAGAACATTCAACCTGCTCAGCTTACTCCTTTTTCATATACACTCAGGTCTTGTCGTTGAGAACCCTACAGAGTGCTCATGAGACCATGGAGCACACTGTTGGAAGCCCACTGCTTGACGTCATGGCTAGACCCTCTCCCTGCACTCTGGTTCTTTGTCTCAAGTGGGCAACTTTGACAACTGTTAGGCCAATATTTATTTATTCAGCTGCAATCTTATTTCTATTTCACTTCTGTTCATAAGAATTTTGACAGGATGCATTCCATATGTTGGGTATGCTCAGAAACTGAAGTATAGAATCGGAGGGTAAAGGAAGCCCCCTTAGGAAATTGAGGTCTGTGAGAAGGCGGAGAGGAGGAGAAAAACTGGGTTCCACACTGTCAGAGCCTGCGGGACCTGGAGGTTCACCTGAGAGGCCTTTCACCCATGAGTGATAGGGATCTAGGGCTCTCTGTGTCTGGATATTTGAACCTAAAGTTTGGTGGATTGGGGTGAGGGAGTTTATCCAGAGCTATCAAAGTCTGTAGGCAGGTACTATAGCTGTATGGAGAAAGTGGAATACTTATTAATCAAATTAAAGAGGTGTAATGGGGGCCGAGTAGTGGTGGCACACACCTTTAATCCCAGCACGGGGGAGGCAGAGGCAAGCAGATCTCTGCGAGTTTGAGATCAGCCTGGTCTACAGAGTGAGTTCCAGGACAGCCAGGGCCACACAGAGAAACCCTGTCTCAAAACAAACAAACAAGAAGAAGTGTGATAGGATCAGAAGCCCGTTGGAAAGTCTCCAAGATAAGAAGCTGAATGGTTGGCAACAGGTGACAGAAGGGCAGCTCCAGGCGGGAACCAATGACATCCAATAGCAAAACTGTGACAACGCAGGGAAGAGCTGGGTTGCCGCCGAAGGGGGACATGTTGGTTGTTGGTTCTGCTTAGCATTGGGACCGTAGTGAGGCAAGCTAGGTGCCAGGAGTACAAACCTGAGGGAGACTCTCCATGCCTGTCCCACTTTAACCCTCTGCGAGAAGCTACCTAAGCTTTGCGCCCAGGATGCTTTGCTGCCACTTGCTTACCAGCCCTGCCTGTCCCCACCCTCACACCCACCCTGTGCAATTTTCAGTGCATTGCATCTTCTTCGGGCTCATGATGTTACTGAGACTGATTTCTGGCCAGGGAGGAACACCACCACGTGGCGGAAGAGATGCTGCTGCCAGCAGTTGGGCAACGTAGCAGAAAGGATAGTAAATGACTCCTTTCTCAGTTTCTAAATGCACTCACCCAGGAAACTTGGTTTCAGACCCAGGAATAACCGTGCTGCACTTGATAGGATACAATGTGTATAAAAGAGATTTCCCACACATACCTGGCCCTTGAGATGTTTCAGAGGCAAAGACAGGGAACTGAACATAACTCAAGGCAAGATCAGGGTTAGGGTGTTGGTCCCTGGAAAGGTTGGCCTCTCTTCTCCAGCAGTGGCACTGGGCTTAGCTGCTCTGAGATGGGGCAGGGAGACTTTGGACAGTGTAGAAGAATGGTTAGCAGTGAGACTTAATGGTAGCAGGCTTTTCTCGTTGATTCCTAACTAATAAAATGAAGCCAACTGGAATCACATCTGTGTGTCTGCCCATCTGCCACTGAATAATCAGTTAGGGAGGCAACAGTTTACTTCTTGCTGGGCATCGAAACAGCTGTTGCCAAGCAAATGAGAACTTATGTCAAAGCTGTGTTGAGTATGCCCAGTACAGTGCACCCTGGTGAGGACTCATAGGCCCCAAGAGACGGCTTCAAATACAGTGCCAGGTAGGTTGAAGGAGGGAGGGAGACCTTGTATCTGACTGTGAGGAGGACTAGAGACAGTTTCAAAACTGTACTTTGGAGAGGTTTGTTTGGTTGCAGGAATTCCATGAAAAACAATTTGTAAAAATGAGTGAGAAACGTTTAGCTTCTGGAGTGTAAAATGGTCGATAGCTCATATAAGTCAGGAAAGGTGGTCTGGCACCTGACTCCCACCCAACCTGATTAGATACAAAGATCGTGTCACCAGGAAGGTCTCCGCATTTCTGTGGCCTGGCTTTCTGCCAAGGCCACTCTATTTACAAAAGGTTCTTTCCCCAGGGTTGCCAGAGATTTTCAAGATCTTAGGCGGTTACATACAGTTAGCCTTGAGTCCTG